ACACATATTCACATACATATACAATTGAACATTTTTAAATTCGAACAAAGCTCCGTCAGTGGCTATCCTACATCGGGGTGTTTACTTAATGCGTCAAATCATGAGCCGTAATTCAAAACAAGACCTCTGTCATGCCACCCGTGAGCGCGCGCAAGCCGCAACAGCGAGCGCAACAGACAGCCGATCAGCCGATAATCTACCCGTCTAAGAAACTGTGCTGGCGGCAGACAAACTGAGCTGGAAGGCGTGGTTTGGGCGGCCAATAACGTGCGGTGTTCGTACCTCGCGGTGGTCAATGTTCCCACCTGACTAGGGTAACAATACATGACGCCTCCCCCCTGACCGACTGAAGCGTCCTCGGGGTATGCTCTGGATGCTTGGACACTGGCGACGATGCTGGCTGGACTCCTCCCCCTTTCTTCCTCCCGAGGTATAAAGCCTGAAGTCCGGCCCGAGATCCGACATTCGTTTTACTCGACATCGATCTTTTTCGACTTCGACGACTTCGATCATCCCCTTCTCTCCACGAGACGTCGGTGAATTATTACCTGACTACAGCTGGCAAGATGATCTTCAACCCTGCTGACTATGTTGATTGCAATAACAATACCATTGATCAGTGAGTACACCGTTTATGTGTTTGCAATTTAATTTAGTTTTAGCCGTACCATATTTAATCAGTGCATCATATCTCTTGGGAAATTCATTCACAAATCACATTGAAATGTCATTAATTTTCTCTCTCTAGATCTACAGGATACCTCCACTTTTCTATCTCTTGATTCTGACTACATCTTCATTTTAAAGATATTATGTTATCTAAACTCTCGCTCCTTTTTTTTTTATCACTGCGACACTGGATCCTTTTCGGAGTTTTCCTGCGTGACTTTGTCATTACGGAAGCCTTGTCATTATGCTATGCTTGTGGCTTAGTTATGCGTCGTAGAAATTGGATCTTAAACTTTTATCTTTTTTTAAATAACGATTCTTATAGCCTACTTTTCTTCTTGCACTTCTCGGTAAATTTTTACTTTCACTCCCGCACACAGATGCACTGTTTCAGGGGTCAAACTGCTGTACTGTTTGCTGCAGATCACACATATAAAGCTGTTCATTGCTTCAGTTATATCAATTAGATCTAGATCTAATCTAGATCTAGTGTGAACTATTCTCAATTTTTTTTTCATTGTCTTCACCTCCACACGCCTGGAAGTTTCACCCTAACATTTTTCTCTCAGTACCCACTACTAGGCCAAGTTTATTATCTAAACTAATATCTTATAAGCTTTTAAGCTGGCGTGCTCTATTTATCTTATGATGCACGCTTTAATCACAAAGTCAGTACGCTTTTCCTGAAATGGAACACACACAGATTTCCAATATATTTGATTTCAGATGTGTGTTATAAAGTGTATTAGATCTAGTTTTAAACAGACATTCCAGTCACAGCATTGTTTTGGTCGGTGTTTTTCAGTCAGTTTGGAGTGAAAGTTATCATTTTTTTTAAAACTGCTCTTTTTCGAAAAACGAATAGGCCTAACCAAAGAAATTTCAACTGCAACTGTTGCAGGAACCTTTCAATTCAGTCACAGTCAATAATCAACCATCTATAGTCTCAAACTCAACCTCTGCGACTGCTACTCTGCTCTATTTCTCTCGTTAAGTACTACCTCTGCAACAGTTGCGAAAGTCAGTTACCATAAACGATAGAGCATTTCGCTGACTGATAAAATTATCTTTATGTCTGGAGACTTATTTTGACTTTGTTTTCTCAATAATCTGAATGTTTTTACTGTACTGTCATGGTTTTAGTTCAGCACTACCAGTTTTCCTTCTCTTCTTCATGCCAAATCAAATGTTTCCACGACTGTTTCTTTCATCTTCCACTAACCCTATTTAATCCACCTCACTGCGCTGTAGATAATATATTTTTTAAAATCTTTCAGACGGAAACATGTTCTTGTACATGAGGATCTGTGGAGGGCTTCATATTCTTAAAAATGTAATTTATGTTATTATTGGGTTGAACAGATTCATGCACTGCTTGAATGTTCATGGACAGATTTAGTTCTAAGAATACTTCACATGTTTTACTAATATCTGTGGTTTTTGAGAGGCAGTACGTAACTTTATTTCATCTTCATTTTTGTAGATATACTTTTTGTTCTCACCATGAATTTTGCCCGTTAATTGTTGCCACTTAAGCGCTGTGGCGAAGACCTTTTTACTTTTACTAACATACTAAGGCCCTCGCTTTTACAACAAAGCAGGAAAACATCTTCATTTTTTGGAGTCCAGACCAGACCATCAATGATTTATTTATAGAGGCGTGTATAAATGTGAAAGATACATTTTTGTTTGTTTTTTGTTTCAATAGAAACCTTAACCCTTTTACATTTAAGTTTAAATCATGCACTGACACATTTAAATTGCTTCATCGTGAACAATAAATTCTCTTCGCTGGTTAGTCCTGCTTCACACCAATCAGTCTATTCCCTACAAGTAAGCCATCTCCTGACTATTCAAAAACGGCCGATCAGTAGCCAATTATTCGAATTAGAAGACCCTCCTTGCCCGCCTTTTTTCCCCGCCAGATTTCTTGTAACGCACTGGTCCACTGGGGCGCTCAATAATCTTGACCGTTGTCTTTGCAACCCCCCCCCCCACGCCCTCGTTTCCTCATTCCTCCTCTCTTGCACCCCCCTCCCCTACCTCCTTCTAGTTTACACCCCCCACCCCCTGGACTCAAACAAACAAATCTCCTTCCCCCCCTCCCGCTGTTAACGCTTCGCTGACCGTGATGCAATGTTACAGACCACGACCTCTTGACCGGCGGATTTGCCCCTGTCAGCTGTTCTATCAGCTGTTTTCCCGCGCATTGCTGGTTTTTCTCAATCCATCATGTAGAGAGCGAAAGTCTGTCTCATCATTACGTTCAGTCAGCTTATTATGTCTGTTTCTTGATTTCAGCGAGCGGGTTAGTGTCATATGTAATGCGTCTTTAAAAAAAAACTCTAATAAGAAGGAGTCTACAAGCAAGTCAGTGTCTTTACCCTTACCTTTATTAGCTTTACATTAAATTTCAGTTGAAATTACCCCCCCCCCCTCTCTCTCTCTCTCTCCTACACTCACACATTGTCGAAGATAAAAATATCCGTCTCAGGCAGGGTTTAAGAAAAAAGGGAGGGGTGGTCGTTTGTTCGGGTGATTGTCACTGTCCACTACAGCGGGCCGTTAAGTGTATATTAATAATAATGTTAAATGTATATATAAATCTGCTTACTAAGGAGTGTGCCCTCTCGAAGGAGCATTGGGCACATACTTCCAAATTAGTGGCCCCTTTGTGTGTGTCGATTTGGACCTAAAACCAAAGGAGGACCCCTCAGCCTCACTCCTTCTCCCCTCCCCC